GTAAACAATTATTTCCGAGGCGCACGTTTATATGATCATTATAAAAAAAAGAGAATAAATTAAAAACAGTTTTGAAATAATATGACATTAAAAACAGAATAAAGTTTAAAGGGGAGTGATTTATAAAATATCCATAAAGAAAAAGTAAATCTGTTGACAGTTCTGTTTCAAATGGGTGTTGAGAGATGTATCCATAGATCTCTTCATTTTGCTCTCAAAGTGCACCAGATTGATGCTTTCAACTTCAATATTTAAAAATCTTCCCCCCTTGCCCCCGTACCCCTCTATGTGAGGTCCACACACCACCTATAAAAATAGCACTTGACCCCTGCTTACACCTATATGCCGTGAGCTGATTATCGAGCCTTCATTGTAACAGTCGTGGGTACACTGTGTATTTGCGTGGGGAGTGTTGCAGTAGAACATTCCCCTGTAGCGACCGGTACATTAACGGGAAACCCTAAATGTTTGAGCACCCTCTATGAAACGTCAAGCTACCCCACAGCACCCCCAAAATAGAATCTCTGGCGCCGCCACTGAGCCTGACTATTTGTGTTGGGGGGGCCCGACTTTTTTTTTTCTCCAAATGGGGGGCCTGACAGAAAAAGTTTGAGAACCACTGCCATCTGTAGCCCAAGGTGACCCCTACAAATAGCTTGTTTTCTCCAATATACAGTCCAAAGAATATCATAGAGGACTAAGAAAACCAATTAATATTTCATTTTAAAGATGCAGAAACCAGTTAATAAAAAAAAAGCAACTATCAAAGAAAGGCCTTGTACAAGGTAACATTTGCATTGGAGCATTGGAGCTTGGGTAACACCACATACTCTCATTATGCTGCTCAGAAGAACAATTGGGTGATTTTAGTTCCATCGTCGGGGTTTGCCTGCACAGCCTCTTGCACGCTGAAGTTAAAACAGATCTAATACAGACAAATCTCCTCACTCTAAATTATACAATATGCAGCTCAGATTTAGGCTTACATTTAAAGGGGAATTGAAGCATGCCTGATACAATAAAAGCTTTTTTCATGTCGGAGGACTTTGAAGGTTTGCGTGAAAGAAGATCGGAGTCAGGTGCATTAGTAAGAGAGAGAGAATAAAGAGCTGCTGCTGTTAATGGATGCTATAATGAGACACATTTTTCACTGTATGGACATGAAGTAAGTCTGTTTTAGAGAACAGTTTTAGATGCTAAATCAACCCCCTTAAAAACAACACAGAATAAGGGACCTGTGACACACATTGGAGATGGATTAGAGTTGGGGTGAAATGAGGCAATGCGAGGGAGAGCGAGGTAGAGGAGGCGCGGCCGCCAGGAGAATATGAATAATTTCCATGCTGACTCTTCAGAGAGAGTTCACACTCTTCTCCCTGACATCATCCCTCTTCCCTTCACTTCTTGTTTTGGGGAAGGAGATGACAGGAGCCAGAGAGAGGGGGAAAGGAGGTGAAGCAAGGAAGGGAGTGGTGATGAAGAGAGAAAGGATGGGGGAAGGAAGGAAGGAAGGATAAGAGGCGAGGAGATAAAAGGAGGGAAATGAAAGGGAGAGGTGACAAGGAGAAAAGTGAGGCCAGGACAAATCCTCAAAGAAAGAAGGAGACGAGAGGAGAAAGGATAGAGTTGGGTTTGAGGCAAAAGAAAGGAAGCGAAGAAGAAATAGCACACAGACAATGAGAGGAAGAAGATTTACAGGAGGACAAAAAGGTTGCACACAGAGGAGGGAAAAGATGGAGAGGCAGGACAAAAATGTGAGACTAAAGGAAGGAGGAGAAAGGTTATCGACAGAGGATGGACCTGAAGTCGGAGAGAGAGGATGCAGACAGAGGAGGACGAGGATGTAGGCAGAGGAGGACGAGGATGTAGACAGAGGAGGAAGAGGATGTAGACAGAGGAGGACGAGGATGTATGCAGAGGAGGACGAGGATGTATGCAGAGGAGGACGAGGATGTATGCAGAGGAGGACGAGGATGTAGACAGAGGAGGACGAGGATGTAGACAGAGGGGCGAAACAACGAATAGGACTGAGGAAAGAGCTTTCAGGCGGTCGGAGAAAGAAGATGGGAGAGTAAGAAGGCAAACTGTTGTAGACAAAGGGATGAGGAAGGAGAATTTTGGAGAAGAAAGCTCTGTGCTGCTCGGCTGGGCTTTCTCAGCCTGTCTCTGAAAGTCACAGATGCATGAGGGCTTCCTGTAAATAATTGAAGAGGGGGAGTCCCCCCCTACACACACACAAACTAGAAATCCCCTTTTAAAGCTGTGTAGACGGGAAGTGAGAATGTGTGATCATGTTCCAGCTCTGTGACTGATGTGCAGGCGGCTAGAAAATATAAGAATTACACGGAGTAATTCATCCTGATGTCAACTCTGATTGGCTTTTGCAAAAGGTCCCGGCAGGTGTGTTGTGTTGTTTTACTGTGTGGTAGGAAAGATACACTCTTAGTTTGCTCCAGTTAGTTTCATCCACAGGGTTTCCTTTATTTATGTGTGTAATTGTCCTCACTGAGCTTCTTGCTTTTCATCTGGATTATCTTTCATCCTGCCCGGTTACCTATTGTACAGGTGTCAGGAAGTCGATACAAATCACATTCTAGTTCCCGTACCTTCGACTTAACGACGTGCCCTTGTCTTGTCTTTTCGAGTTTCACGCTCGAGCTGAGTTTCGCCTCGGAAGAATTCTTTATTAATAAAGAAATTGATATTCCAGGAGCAAACCCACATCATTGAGTGAGAAGACTTAAAGCGCACAAGTGCGACTGCATTGCAATCATTATAATCAGAACATGATGTACTGAATACAGCGTGCATGAAAAGGTCTTTCATACTCTTGTATTTAATTACATGCAACACTTTTCTGCCGATTTCTGTGTCAGAAATGGAATATATGCATTTTTCTGAATATATTGTTAGTATACAACAACATACATTTTAAATATTTTCATAATATCTATCAAGAACATTTTTTAATATTATTGTGAGACCAATTTCTATCTATATTTCTTTAATCTCCTTGTGCCGTGCATACTTGCTTGTTCTTAAATATATGCCTCGCTGCTCTCAATGAGATCCTTTATCCTCTTATTGCAAATTGTTAATGATATGCTGCAAACTTAGTTATACATGATGGGACTGTCTCATTAATCCCACATCCCAAGCATCTGTCAGTGTGTGTTTGTATGGGCGCGTGTGTGCGTGTGTGTGTGTGTGTGTGTGTGTGTGTGTGTGTGTGTGTGTGTGTGTGGGTTAAGGATGTGTGTGTGCATGCGACTAACAGATGGCACTGTGTGCAATGAGCTGCTATGTGATAATTATGGAGCATGCTGGGGAAAGTGTGGAAAAAAGTGCTGATGAGTTTTGGACTGTGTGTGTGTGTGTGTGTGTGTGTGTGTGTGTGTGTGTGTGTGTGTGTGTGTGTGTGTGTGTGTGTGTGTGTGTGTGTGTGTCAGGATGTCTGCTGGGAGGTGAAGGAGGAAATCGACTTTGACACGTTTCCTGCAACATGACACTATAACTGCTACTCCTACTTTAATTATCATCTTCTTCTACTACTTCTATTTGAATAGTGTGAGAAACTGTTTACGGTGAATATCCAACAACTAGCAAGAAACTATGAATATTCGATCGGGACATTATATCAACATAAATGATAGGTATAAACTCTCCGCTTTTAGTCCAGACATGTCACAGAAACAACTAGAAGTCAGAAAGTAAATAGCCAGCGGTCCTCCTGAACAAAACCTCCTAGTCCCTCTGAAAGGACTCGTAAGGTTATGTGTGTTTCCCGTTAAGCCCATTTAAATCCCCACAAAATAACAAATCTATGAATATAACCTCTGATAATGACTCGCTGTGTGGAAAGCAAGCTGAGACCTTGCCCTTGTCTAGCTCACAGTGTGCTGAAAAGAGGTTAGGAGATAACAAATAAAAGGACATTGCATTAAACAATCTGGCAGCATATTCAATCGTAATCATCTGTGCTTTCTTACCAGAATAGTTTAATATCACACACATGTTGTTTATATGACAGAATGATTATAGTGTTGGCAAATAAACACCTTTACATATCTTGTATTATCTGACCTCACAGTATAAATGTTTTTTGGTTGAGAAATGGCTAAAACAAATTATTAAAATAGCTGCTGCTGTCAAAAAACTAATCATAGCCAATCGTTTCAGCTCATTTTATCCACAACAACATTAAAAACAAAGGCAGAGAACTTGTTTTCGTATATCCTGAATTTGTCCTTCCTTTTCAGTTTCACCTCCTTTACTCATATTTCTCTTCTCTCCTCCTGAGCCGCAGCATGTTTTCTTAGAGCAGGATGTTTTCCACAAACATGTGTGTGTGTGCGCCGTAAGTTGTGTGTGTGTGTGTGTGTGTGTGTGTGTGTGTGTGTGTGTGTGTGTGTGTGTGTGTGTGTGTGTGTGTGTGTGTGTGTGTGNCCTTCCTCACTATCCTCCTCCTTCCTTTTCCCCCTTTCCTGTCCACTAGACCCTTCTTCTATCATACTGTTCTCTCTTCTCCTTTCTAGCTTCCTCCTATTAGGAGGAAGCTAGAAAGGAGAAGAGAGAACAGTATGATAGAAGAAGGGTCTAGTGGACAGGAAAGGGGGAAAAGGAAGGAGGAGGATAGTGAGGAAGGAGAGGAGAGAACAGTATGATAGAAGAAGGGTCTAGTGGACAGGAAAGGGGGTAAAGGAAGGAGGAGGATAGTGAGGAAGGAGAGGAGAGAACAGTATGATAGAATAAGGGTCTAGTGGACAGGAAAGGGGGAAAAGGAAGGAGGAGGATAGTGAGGAAGGAGAGCAGAGAACAGTATGATAGAATAAGGGTCTAGTGGACAGGAAAGGGGGGAAAGGAAGGAGGAGGATAGTGAGGAAGGAGAGGAGAGAACAGTATGATAGAAGAAGGGTCTAGTGGACAGGAAAGGAAGGACGAGGATAGTGAGGAAGGAGAGGAGAGAACAGTATGATAGAAGAAGGGTCTAGTGGACAGGAAAAGGGGGGAAAGGAAGGAGGAGGGTAGTGAGGAAGGAGAGGAGAGAACAGTATGATACAAGAAGGGTCTAGTGGACAGGAAAGGAAGGAGGAGGATAGTGAGGAAGGAGAGGAGAGAACAGTATAATAGAAGAAGGGTCTAGTGGACAGGAAAGGAAGGAGGAGGATAGTGAGGAAGGAGAGGAGAGAACAATATAATAGAAGAAGGGTCTAGTGGACAGGAAAGGAAGGTAGAGAAGAGTTAGGAAGGTAACAATTAAGAGGAGGTAAAGGACAGATGAGGAAATAGGAAAGTTAAACATATCCAAATATCCAAACTATAGCAAATGAGAAAAGGAAGCAAAGGAGGAGGTTTAGGAAGATAGAGATGAAGAGAGAGAAAAGGGAAGAGGGGAAACTAGAGGAGTAACAAAAGGAGAAGGTGGGAAGGCATGTAATTGAGGAAGTGATAAAAGGAAGTTTGAAGGAGCAGAAATAGGAAAAGTATTGGAAGCTGAAGGAGCAGAAGCACATGGATAGAAAGCGGAGGGAAGGAGGAATATATAGGAAGAGATCAAGCAGGAAAAATGAAAGTAGAGAAGGGAAATAAAGAGGTGGAAACCGAGGCCTGTAACGGAGGCGGAGGGAGAGAAAGGAAACACAGGAACGAGAAAATGGGGAATAAAAAGTGAGGGAAGGTTATAATATAACTATAATCCCTGAAAATGGCAGCAGCTCCTCTGACTGTGTGCACATTAAACCTTTCACTTTCCCCGAGTTAAAATGCACACACACACACATGCTCACACTCACACTGTGTGCAAGGTCATGACACGCTGTGTGTGAGCGCGCACGTACCTCCAGGCCTTCTGTACGACATGATTCACAATGCCTTGTAAATCTTACTCACACAGAGTACTAAGGAGAGTATTTGTGTGAATACTAACACACTGTGCTGCTTTCACACGGGTTGCCGTTTGGATTTATTTGCTGCAAACAGCCAATATAAAATAAATAAATAAACGTACCGACTGTACACATGTAAGGTGTGTGTGTGCGTGTGTGTGTGTGTGTCTGTGCGTGTGTGTGCTCAGACTATATAGCCACTTGCCTTTTAACTGCACTTAACATTCAGGTGAACACACACCTTTAGAAACAACATTACTCCTTGAGCCGCAGTACAATCCCAGGTCACTGTGAAGTCAGTGTTTGAGGTTTATTTATAGTATTTATAGAATATAGTGAACTTTTAGAAGGAAGATGAAGTTTATTATTTGTGTAAATTAGTATTTATTCTCTTAGTTGGTCCGTACATGTTTTTATGGTAGTGGATTCTGACAATTTTGTGTTCTTTTAGATCTGACCAAAAATATAGGAGATCTGACTTCTGAGAAAAGTCAGATTTCTGAGAGAATTCCAAATTCTGACATTTTTTCCCAGAACTCTGAGAAAAGAGTCGAAATTCTGAGAAAAAACTCGGAATTCTGAGAAAAGTCGGAAATCTGAGAAAAAACTCGGAACTCTGAGAAAAGTCGGAATTATGAGAAAAGTCGGAATTATGGGAAAAGTCGGAACTCTGAGAAAAGTCGGAATTATGAGAAAAGTCGGAATTATGAGAAAAGTCGGAATTCTGAGAAAAGTCGGAAATCTGAGAAAAAGTCGGAACTATGAGAAAAGTCGGAATTATGAGAAAAGTCGGACTTCTGACTTTTTTCTCCGAATTCTGAGAATTTCAGAAAAAAAAATCGAGTGTGAAAACGTATTAGTCCTGAGATTAAAGTCAGGAACAAATTCACTTTAGGTCAGATCTCAAACATTTTGAGATCCTCTTCCGTAGGTTTTTCGAGATAGAGAACGATACATTTGGCTAAAGCTTTAGGGACTTTATTGCATATCAAATCCTAGTTTCAGTGTTTCTGAGTTTCTGCTTGTTTCAGTTATTTTGTTGCATCCACTTTGACCATTTCATGTTATCACTTGAGTAAAGGCAGAAATCTTGTGTGCTAATTACCTGCTTAGTAAATATAATAAGTATTTCATTTAAATGTGACACTGTAAGCGCAATTGTGTTTTTTTTGTGGCACTGCAAAAC